CGGGGGGGGGGGGGGGCCCGGTGCCGCCGTGACTCAGCCGTGACTAAGCAGCTCCCGGTGCCCCCGCATGGCACGGGACTCCCGCCGTGGGCTGCCTTCCCGCCTGCATGCCGGAGGTAAGACGGGCCCGGTGACCCCCCACCCCCCGGGGCCGGAGTGTCGCCCTCAGCCCTCCCCACGCCCTCCGGCGGTGCCGCTGATGTCGCTTGGCTGATGATGAAGTCTCGTGGGGCTACCCAGATGTGCCCTCCCGCCTTAGCTTGGGGAGGGGTTTACTCCCGGGCGGTGGTTGGAGCCCCCGCAGCTCGATACCAGTCGGTGCCGGTCTCTCCCGGTCTTTGTCATCGCCGGTTCGGGGCACATGACCGTTAATCTGCCGAGGCCGCTGCCGACGCCCAGCACCCGCTGCCTGGGCACACCCAGTATCTTTGAACCCTCTCGGCTCCGGCCACTGTGGCACTCATTTTTGGGGCACATCCAGCACCTCCCGAGCTCCCATCAGCTCTGGATCCCAATTGGGCCCCGTGGCTCTGCTCCTTCTGGCTCAAGCATGCACAACCCCATGGCACAACCTGCGGCTGCGCTGGGGCTCCCCCACGCTGCCTAAGGGAGGAGGCTCTGAGGTCCATTTCCTTACTCTCTCCCACCAAAAAGCATCCGGGGGATCTTCCTCCCCTCACCCCAGCTGGGCGCTGTCTCCTCCTTGCCCAGATCCTGCCTGGAAGGTCGCTTGCAAGGACACCCGCAGTCCCGGGGACACGGGTGGCCCTTGGGACACGCCAGACACCTTCCACGCACACAAAACACTCTGGGAGCAGGAGGGAGCTGGGTGTCTGGTGAGCTGGAACAGCTTTAGCTGAAGGCAGAGTTGCTGGAAGCTGGCATGCTGCGGATTTGGGAAGCTGGGATACAGATCTGATCCCCTCAGTGGTGCCACAGGGCTCAGCCTTAGTTGGAGCTGGAGCTTAATTGGGACATGCCTGGAATTCCAGTCTGGGGACAAGGCAATGGCTGTGCGCACCCTGGGGGGGCTCCTGGATTATGGGGGCTATGATCCCTGTTCTGGAGGCTCCGGAAGGAAGGGCTGTGCCATGTTGAGCTGTCCCGTGCCACCATGACGCCTCCTGCTCTCCGTGTCCCCAGATAAAATCTGTGACCAGATCAGTGATGCTGTCCTGGATGCCCACCTCAAGCAGGACCCCGATGCCAAGGTGGCCTGTGGTGAGTAAGGGCACCAGGGGACAGACAGCAGGTGGGAGACGTGGAGGTGACACCATGCTGACGTCACTCATGTCCCTGCAGAGACGGTTGCCAAAACGGGGATGATCCTGCTGGCGGGGGAGATCACCTCCCGGGCCAACGTAGACTACCAGAAGGTGGTCCGGGACACCATCCGGCACATCGGCTACGACGACTCCTCCAAAGGTGTGTCCTGGGCTGCCACCGTCTCAGTGACAGCAGCAGGGGTGGCACAGGGCTCACCAGAGCCCCGTTTGTCCCCTCAGGTTTTGACTACAAGACATGCAATGTGCTGGTGGCCCTGGAGCAGCAGTCCCCGGACATTGCCCAGGGTGTGCACCTGGACCGCAGCGAGGAGGACATTGGTGCTGGTGACCAGGTGAGACCCAGGGCCGTGGGGTCGCTGTGGTGTGACCGGGGGCTGGGTGTGACCTCGTTGTCCCTGTGCTGCAGGGGCTGATGTTCGGCTACGCCACGGATGAGACAGAGGAGTGCATGCCCCTCACCATCGTCCTGGCGCACAAGCTCAACGCCAAGCTGGCCGAGCTGCGCCGCAGCGGAGCCCTGCCTTGGCTGCGCCCTGACTCCAAGACACAGGTGAGGTGCTGGGGGGTCCACAAAGCCCTCGGGAGCCCCCTTTTCCCTGCCTGGCCTCTGACCGGTGTCCCCTGGCAGGTGACAGTGCAGTACATGCAGGACCGCGGGGCAGTGATCCCGATCCGGGTGCACACCATCGTGATCTCGGTGCAGCACGATGAGGACGTGTGTCTGGATGAGATGCGGGATGCGCTCAAGGAGAAGGTCATCAAGGCTGTGGTGCCCCCCAAGTACCTGGACGATGACACCATCTATCACCTGCAGCCCAGCGGCCGCTTCGTCATCGGCGGGCCCCAGGTGCAGCTGGGGGCACGGTTGGGGGCAGCATTGTGGTGGCAGCAGTGACACCGTGATGGTGATATTTGTCACGGCACGATGGCGGTGTCGGCAGCGACACCGTAACGGTGGCAGTGATGTCACGGTGATGGCAGCGGTGATGGTTCAGTGCTGAGGGCTGGTGACAACATGCTGACAGTGCTGACGTGGTGGTGATGACACCGGTAGTGGCACAGTGGTGGCAGTTGGAATGGTTTGATTGCGGTGAGAATGGCACAGAGGTGGCAGAGACGGTGCGGCTGTGGCGGCCACGATAACGTGACAGCGGTCGCAGCACGGTGTGGCGGCGGTGAGAGCGTGGTGATGGCTCAGTGATGATGACGCTGGTGACAATGTGGACAGGCCTGAGATGCTGCTGTCCCCAACAGGGTGACGCAGGGCTGACAGGCCGCAAGATCATCGTGGACACGTACGGGGGCTGGGGCGCGCACGGCGGCGGCGCCTTCTCGGGCAAGGACTACACCAAGGTGGATCGCTCGGCCGCCTACGCCGCGCGCTGGGTCGCCAAGTCCCTGGTGAAGGCTGGGCTGTGCCGCAGGGTGCTGGTCCAGGTGGGTGCTGCTCTGGGTCACGGCTGGTCCCGGTGGGTGCTGGGACACCCCTCCTCAGGCTTTTGGGGGTCCGGCCTCACCCACAGCCCTGCCTTCCCCCTGCAGGTCTCCTATGCCATCGGGGTCTCGCACCCCTTGTCCATCTCCATCTTCCACTATGGCACCTCCCAGAAGAGCGAGCGGGAGCTGTTGGAGATCGTCAAGAAGAACTTTGATCTGCGGCCCGGGGTCATCGTCAGGTAACGGGCAGGGGGGTCTGTGCCGGGGGGTGGGGGTGGGCGGGGGTCCCTCCCGGAGCAGCTGGGGACCGCCTGGCGCCTGGACCCGGCGCGGAGCCGCTCGGCCGGACGGAGAAGGCGCGCTTGGGGCGCGGACGGGGTAAGTATCCGCCGGAGCCGAGCGCTTGGAGCTTCCCCAGCGCCGGGAGCGTGCTGGTGTTTGGGGGAGCAGCTGGGGAAGCTCCAACCGCCCCGCGGGGTGGGGAGGAGGCAGAGGCGCCACTGTGGAACCCCCGGCCAGGCAGGGAAGGGGCGAAGGCAGGACCCTGGGGCCACCTGACTGAGTTGGGAATTGTGTATTCCAGGGATCTGGATCTGAAGAAGCCCCTCTATCAGAGGACCGCAGCCTATGGCCACTTTGGTAGGGACAGTTTCCCTTGGGAAGTGCCCAAAAAACTAAAATACTGAGGAAAAAGCATTGTTAGGGCTTTTCCC